TCAGAGGAGATGATCATTCAAAAAATTTCAAGTTGTGCAGAAATGGATAAACTAACTTTGGCACTAAAAAATAAAGACACCTCAATATACTACAATAGCTGGAATTGCTTGTACAAATGGATAGACCAAAGATAGATTTTACACTATAAGGCAAAAGAGGACAGGATAAACTCATAGCAGTGATATACAGATATATGTAAAGATTAGGTGTGTGTATATGGCATAAATTAAGGGTTATAAAAAAAAAGAGATGCTACAAACTGTTGAAGATGAGAATGTTTTTAATTGCTTTCTATTTTTTCTTTCTATTTTCTTCTCCTTCTTTTCTTTTCTTTTATTTGTGTATATGTTGTTGGTTTGTTTTAATTGTAAAATTAATAAAGTTTATTTATAAAAAAAAGAATGTTAACACCCGGTTCTAGCGAATAGGTGCGAACTGATAGAATCTCATCCCTGGTTGTGGGTACGGTAGGAAAATAGTGGGTAAATCAACTGAAAGATTATCTTGCAAATGGAACTTGGCTCAACTGAGGAGAGATATGGGGAAAACTTTTTCAATGAGACTTTGCTTTAATTAACTTATTGTAAATATAAATTCCTATGACAGTTTCCCATATTCTCTGTATTTTTTTAAAGTATCATTATAGATATTTTTGTGAAATCCAGTTCTTGCCTTCTAGACCTTGGCACCTATGTGAGCCTTGATAATTAGCAATTTCACTGTAAAAAATAATCTCTGAATGTTTGGACCATTAAGATGCCACCATAATAGTCTAAAAATATATGCTATTTAACCTGAACTTTGCTACAGGTGTACAATAGTTTTCCAAGAATAATGGAATATTTGCCTGGGCAACACACAAAGACTTTTGCTGATATTGAAAAACTTTGTGACTTTATCCATGAAAAAGTGGTACTTCACCAGAAAACACTGGATATTCAGGAGCCACGTGACTTTATTGACTGTTTCCTTATCAAATCAGAGAAGGTATGTATGTATATGTATATATCTGTGTGTGTGCGCATGCACACACACACACACAAAATTTCTGCATAAATATGAGTATTCCCTGATATGCATCTAACATGAAACTAGTTCATCTAATATGAACTAGTATAAAATTATGTATTCTCCATATTCTATGTTTGCTTTTCGACAACTCCCACATCACTAGCCAGACAAGGATATATGGAAACTGATCAAGGAGAGATTCAACTTAGAAATAAGGAGACATTTTCTGACAGTGAGAACAATCAACCAAAGGAACAGCTTGTCTACGGAAGTTGTGGGAGCTTCATCACTGGAGGCTTTCAAGAAGAGATTGGACTGCCATTTGTCAGAAATAGTGTAGGGTCTCCTGCTTGGGTGGCTGGTTAGACTAGATGACCTACAAGGTACCTTCCAACTCTTTTAATCTGACCATAAGTCCACCAGTCTGGCTTCACCACCATTTCTTTTCTAAAAAAAAGCTCCCGGGGGAGGGGGGGGGACAGCTAAAGAAGCATTTTCATAGAAAACCTTGTTTTATATTTATTCCAAACTCTTAGAGTGGCACATCTAACAAAGTGATTATTAAAATCAACATTTACTTTGACCTTGTCATAAATAACCATGCCATCCAAATCTTAATTCATGATCTTCTAGATCAGAGGTGTGAAACTTGTGACAACATGTCGTGTGATGTATAGCAACTCCCCCCCCTTCACTAAACCAGGAGTGGCCATGGCCAGTGCGTGATGCATCTGGCCCATGGGCCTTGAGTTTGACACCCTTGTTCTAGATCAAGTACCCTCTTATTCTGCATGTTCACCCACTTTTTTATCCAGATCTAACCATAAGCATCAAAATACAATTTCAAATCTGGTAAACCTAAACCCCTCTTTCCTTAGCACCTTGAAATAGTTTATATCTATTTTTTGGTTGTTTCTTTGCCATGTAAAGTTAGAAATATCCATCTGTCAGGTTTAAATGGAGTAATTTAGATTGTCATACCCCTTCTCTGCATCTAAAAATATTAAAGCTGTCTGTTTCTCATTATGATATTGTAAATATTCAATAATATTCAGAATAGTCCTACATTGGCAGAAAGCCAGTTTGATCTTCATGAATATATGTCTGTATGAACTGCTATACTGTTCCAAGTAAATTCTTTAATCTTCCCTGTTCCCCCCTCTTTCCCCCACCTTCAGGAGCAGAACTCATCCAACACTATCTATACTCCGGAAAGCCTTGTGCGTTTTGTGCTTGAAATGTTTTTTGCTGGGACAGTAAACATAAGCAATGTGTTGGTCTCCAGCCTACTTGTGGTGGCCAAATTGCCACACATTCAAGGTACAGAAATGAACACAAAAATAGAAAGGTTTCAGGGCTCCCATGGTATCCCATGTTCAATCCTCAAAATATTGCTGAGTAAAGTTCCACACATTACAGTATATTTTATGCAAATTGCTTGGAAGCATTATGGAAATGATTTGCCATTGTCTTTTTTCTGAATGTTTTTATTGCTGTTGTTTTAAATTTCCATATTTGTCACTCCATAAGGTGTACCTGACCATAAGATGCACTTCCGGTTTTGGCCTGCACACGTCCTGTTTTTGGGCTTTGTATGTCCCGTTTTTGGCCTCCACACGTCCCATTTTTGGCTGAAAATGGGGCATGCAGAGGTCAAAAATGGGATGTGCACAGGCTGAAAAACAGGGCCTATGGAGGCCAAAAATGGGATGCATGGAGGCCAAAAACGGGATGTGCGAAGCCCAAAAATGGGATGTGCGAATCCCAAAAATTCTAGGGAACTTAGAATCATGAAGAAGAAGAGATTTCATGGTTTAACAACATTGCCCCTCCCCTCCTTTTAATTAGTTTAAATTAATTTAAATTTATCAACTGCATTTTTGGAGTTGGAAATTCTAATATTCAGAAAGCCCGTATGGAATGCTTTATGTTTACTGGCTCTAGGCATATTTAGAACACACATAGGCACGTATACTATATACAACATCAATCACATCTTTTTAAATTAGAAGAATTGAAACAGTCTCCTGGGGGGGGGGTTGAGGAGGAGGAGGAAGAGGAGCAGAGGGAGTCATTTTCCTGCTTAGAAGTATCTTCTCTGTATGTGCTTTGAAAGTCATAGCTGACTGGGGTTGCTCAGCATCCGATAATAAAAGGCTGTCAATTTTGTCTCACTATTTTTTTCTCCCAGCTAAAGTGCAACAGGAGATTGCTGAGGTGGTGGGTACAAATCGCATTCCAGGTATGGAAGACCGTTTGAAGATGCCTTTCACAAATGCTGTGATCCATGAAGTTCAACGGTGTTGGAAAGACAGCCTTGAGATCCTTCCACGGGCAACAACTTGTGACATAAAATTCCATGGTTATAACATCTCCAAGGTGTGGTGATATGACTATTGGTCAAGATACTCTGGGGAAGACAAAAAAAAAAGATGGCTGTTATGTATCCAGATCCTTCATATTCAAGGCATTTTGAAAATTAAACCAAATATCTCTCATTTCCCTCCATCTTTACAGAGGGCTCCCCACTGACCTATTTTATTTAAGGCAAGGGAGAACTGAAGACTCTTCTCTGCATAAAGTAGTGCCAATTAATGCCATCTGTTTCTTCCTCTTCCTTTAGTACACGGCTGTTGTGCCAGTCCTCCCTTCTGTACATTTTGACCCTCTCCAGTGGGAAAGTCCAGAGAAGTTCAATCCAGATCATTTTTTGGATGAAAAGGGCCAGTTCAGGAAAAGAGATGCTTTCATGGCATTCTCGGCAGGTATATGCCTCTAGAACAGATTGGATGTGTTACAAATTCACATACTTAATCGATCCATGTTATTTTTTTTATCAGACACAATGCTTTCTAAATAAGTTTTATTTTTTTATTTGCTAATGCAGGGAAAAGGTCCTGCCCAGGGGAGGCCCTGGCTAGGATGGAGCTCTTCTTGTTCTTCAGTGCTCTGCTTCAGAAGTTCACCTTCTATCTGGATGTGGATACCAAAGACATGGATGTAATTTCTTTGTTTACGGACGTCAAAAATAACAAATACCCCCTTTTACGAGCCATTAAATGTTGAATGCTGATCAAGAGAAGAAAAGAAGTGGAGGATTTGGGGGATAAAAAAATCTCAGCAGCAATTTTTTAGAAGATTTTTGGGATATTGAAGGATTTTGAGTGAAACTAATCTAAAATACTTTTCCTTTTAAATTTTCTTATCTAGTAGAGGCATGTTCACTACCATAGAACATATTATTCTGGCATTCATGGGAACTTATGATAGCATGCTGGATTTAAGAGGAACTTAAGAGATTTTAAGAGAAGAGATACCCCAGAAGCTTCATTTAGCTCAAGGGAAAAGAATGGATACAACTAGAAATAAGTTAACATGAAAATGACATGACTATGATGTATGATATTGCATACAATTTGGAATTATGGCTATTAGATTGAATGTCCACCAATGTCAGCCTCAAGATATCTTCCACATCTTATATCTTCTCTTATATCTTCTGCATCCTAACTATTGCATCTTCTCTGCTGCTATGCTATACTATTTCTTTCGGCTGTCATTAGCAACGGAGGGAGGGGGGAACTTGGAAGGGAAGAAAGCTGGAGGTGTTTTGCATTCCTTTGCTGTGGGTAGCAAGGGGAGGGGGGTATGAATTTCTCTCTTTAACTTTCCATTTCTTGGCTAGCTTCTATCCCCTTTGCGCAGCTGCGAAGATTTATCAAAATATGTCAAGGTCAACGGACAGAAGCCTCATCACCACCTGAAGATGGCCACATGATCGTATTCAGTACTTTTAATTGGAAGAGTCATTTAGACTTTGGGGGGTGGGAACAATTCCATTCCTTTGTATATGTGATCTGCGCGCCAATTCCTCAGTTTCGGAATTAAATCTGTAGCTTCCACTTTAATTTCCAGTAAAATGATAACTTTGCTCTAACCCATGGAGTCTGAGTATTTCTTTTTTGGATTTTGAAGGGAGCACACACTGACAACCAAGAAGCTTCAGAGGACAAAGGACTGGGACTAGCATCCCTCTTCAGCACCCTAAAGCAGCTATGTCTTTTTCTAGAATGAACTGGGCCTTCTATCTATAGATGTGAGAAATAGGAGAACAATTAATGCTTTCAATACATTTTCTGTGAAAATATACACTTCCAAATGAAATACAGAGTTTTAACTCCATTTGAATATGCATTCCATATGTTTGTGTATATAACTCAGGGGACTCCAGTAGGTCTTTAAGTCTCCACACAATGTATTAGGAGATATTGATGAGTCTTCTTATTGGAGTCCACAGTGACTCGGAGTGAGATTTTCTGAATCCCCCTGTGTGAAAGAACTTGTCCTTGTGGCACAGGTGACATGGAGACTATCTTTCTCATGCTTTTATATTTCCTCTACTAGTCGGCAAACCTTTATTCTCCTTTTACTGACTGATTTTAGAAGTAGAAATGGACATTTCTTCACCATTTTAATCTATTAAACAAGCCTTTTATCACCTGTAATGTTGCCAGTTTTTTTCACGAAAGCAATTAAAACACATAAAGAAATGACAAATAATTTCAAGGTCGAAACATAGGCATACACACTGAAAGTCATTTTGTTTCAATTGTTATCATAATTATTGATCAATTGTCTCACTATCTGAGGTCAGGCTTCTCAATTTAGACTTATAATAGTTGGGGTTTTTTAATTAACCAAACAAATCTTATTGATCCGGTGGCAATTCAATTGCTGTTGTTAAAATTTGTTGGGAGATTGTTAGTTTATAATTTTTTCTTAACATATTAATATTTTATTATATCCCTAATTCAATTTTTAATGTTTAAGTAAACGTAATTTTATCATTTACATCTTACTTTAGTTTACCCTTATTTTAAAATTTTAAGGTTTGCACAGATACCTTTTATTCTATGTATATATTTAGTCTTTTCTCAGTTCTTTATGTTTTATTTTGTATTTAAAATTTATGTTTTATTAATTGCTAGTCAATCTCTGTAATAAATTTGACTGGTTAAATTTGATTTTTGAGCCTTAGTTATGCTTCAGTGAATCAAATTATGCACTCATGAACAGGCCCTATTTCAATTCCTAATTGGGAAAATCAATATTTGTGAAATCTCGTCAAGTCTTTGGGATAAGGTCAAAATGAATCAAGATTAAGGTGCAGTTTAAGACGAACTCCAATACACCGTATTAATGTTAATTTCTTATGGCAAGTTAAATCTTCTTGAATATTCTTAGCTAAACTAAAGTTACTTTACATTGAGGATGGTTTCAACGTACCAGATTTTCAACTTTTTTTAAAAAGGAGATTTCTTATGAATATTCCCCTCTTTGGATCTGAAATCTGGGCACATTTTAGGGTCTGAGTATATTAAACTGGGTTCTTGGTTTTCAGACTTGAAAACTGACAAACACATTTAGTTATTAATACCTAAGGAATTACATTTAATGATGTTTTCATCCTGTTGTTTTTGCTCCTTGTCCAACATTTAGATTCTAGCCTTGACATTCGGACCAACTTGTAGAATTTGATGGTATTAGAATTCTTGATATTTTCAGCCAAAGCCAAATAGGTTTTTATTTTTGTCTCCTGGGCAGCAATGGGTATATTTTTTATCAGCTTTTCCTTGCCAACAGGCAGTTAGCATTGGGATATAGTGACTTCTGTCTCCACTGAAACAAATAATTTTGCTTTCCAAGAATTAAGAGAGTACTCTCAATTTCCATTCCCAACATTAAATATTTTTCTAGGTTTTGTAAAAATATAATTGCTGTACATAAAGTTATACTTCACACATTCAAATTGGCATGCTTTTTTTTTTTTAGCCCTTTTTAATATTCTTCCATCTGCAATTTTGTATGAAAGGCATAACATATTATTATACTTGTCTCTGTGATGTGGAGGAAACCATATATGGTCCATATATTTCTTAGATGTTGCTCCTGTAGCACCCTGAATTTTACTTATTAATAGTAATTCCACTAAAATCTGAGAATGATTTTAGGACTGGGTTAGAACTCTAATATCTCAAGAAGACTAGCAAATTCCTTCAATTGCCATTCTTTAATGCAGAAAATGATTCTTTTTAAATCCTAGTAATATAAATTTCTTTTTTTCTTTTTAAAATAATTTTTATGTTGACCTACGTCTTAGATCTTGTACTATTTTAACAATTGATGAAAAAGCAAGCAAACAAGCAAACAACAATCAAATAAGAAGACATTTGCTGAGAAGCTTTGTATTAAGTATGTAATCCTTTTAGATTTTTTTTTAATTCACATAGTAGTTTTTTCCTTTTATTAAGCTTTAATATTATCCTGTTTTATAAAGTTACAGTCAATTATGTTACTCGTTGGTTTTAGAAAGCACATGCTTTTTAACCTGTATTTTATAACATCGTAAGACTTTCACCAAATGGTGGTCAGAGACTAATAAGGTTATCTATTTTTCTAAGGTTTCATATGTTTATCTAGACTGCACTGGAAAGTCAGCAGGAAAAACTATTCTCTACCCGCAGCAGGAAATACTATTGGAGAACATGGATGTGAGTTTTCCTCCCTCTCTCCTTTCATAGATTGAATTTGGTTGGAACTTGGAAGGATCTATTTAAATTATGGGCTCCAATATCCTGCTTGAGCTAGAGTCTAACTTCGGTCTCCAAGAGATAGCTGCCCAACCTTTGTTTGAACATCTCTAGACAGGGTGTACATACCTCAAGCATTGGAAAAAGGACTTCAACTCTATTGCTACTGCTCAGGGGTGGGATTCAAATTTCTTAACAACTGGTTCTGTGGGCATGGCCTAATTAGTGGGTGGGCGTGGCTTGCGGACTGGCATGGCTAGGTGGTCATGTGATGGGGTGGGCATGACCAGGTGGTCATATGACTGGGGTGGGTGTAGCTAGGTGGCCATGTGACTGGCAAAACAAATATAAGTGGTCCTCACTTAACAGCCAATTGCTTAGCAAGTGTTCTAATTTATGACTGACCTCCCCATAGCTACTTGACCTGTTTTTGGTGTTTTGACAGCCATACATAAACACACATGCACACACTAATGACCAGTTACAACATCCCACACAGTCTTGTGACTGAGGTTTTCTATGTTTTTTGCCAGTTTCCAACAATTCCTTCTGGTTTCTGGTTAAAAATGCTCATTGGGGAAAATGGACTTGTTTAACAACCAGTGTTTGTTTAATGACCACAAGGTTCACTTAACAATCATGGTGTTTGCTTAACCCAGGGGTCTGCAACCTTAAACACTCAAAGAGCCATTTTTCTATTTTCGTTTAAAAAGGTATCTCTGTCTCTGTCTTTCTTTCTTTCTTTCTCCCTCTTTCTTTTTCATCTCTCTCTCTCTCTCTCTTTCTCCCTCTCTGTTTTTCATTTCTCTTTCTTTCTCTCATCTATAACTACTAAGATTGGAAGCTGTATTTTTATAATCCTATTTCTTTGCAGTTTTTTTCACACACATTTGTGTATATGTATCCAATACTTTCTTCCTTTCCGCTATGTATTCAAAATGGGCAATGATTTTGTGTGTGTGTGTGTGTGTGTGTAGCATGTGTATGTATGTGTTATGTATGTGTATGGATATGTGTATATATTTCACTTTTAACGTGTGCCAGTGTATTTACAGTAAAAACATGACAATAAGTTATCTTATCCTATCTTCCTTCTTTCCTTCCCAACCCCATTCCTCTCCACACCCCATTTTGTGTTGGCTTCCCAGCCAAGTACTTACCAGGTCTGATCCTGTTTAGCTTTCTAAAATCAGCCTACTGAAATAAATACCAAACTAAACTGCCCAATAATTTACCTACCATCACTATCTTGCACCTGATTTCAATGTAAACAGCCAATCTGTAGTATTACTAAATTTTGCTAGGCACCTGCTGCATGTTATTCTCTCTTCCTTGATAATCTAGTCAAGAGGTCCCCAAACTTGGCAACTTTAAGACTTGTGGACTTCGACTGCCAGAATTCTACAGCCAGCTATGTCCACAAGTGTTAAAGTTGTCAAATTTGGAGATCCCTGACATAGATCAACCACATGTACATGAAGTACATACAAAGCACTTCCATACCATACAAATGAGTTACAAAGACAAAATGATGAAAAATGGGAGACACTGATTACAGCATAGACAAAAAAAAAAAAATCATATATAATTATTGAGTAGGGGATGATAGCAAAAAAGTAACATAAACCACTCATGGTTAGAACTTGCTTGCTTGAGTCCCAGCACTTTAGAATGGTGTAGTCCATTGGCAGCTGTGCAAAGCCATCCAGTCCCTTAGAATTATCCATTCACTCTAGACACACATACCCCTTACCTTTGCATGAAGTCGTCGAGCTCCGAGGGAAGTTCACCTGTTCGTGCCCCAGGTAAACTGAAAGCCCTGCAGGGGGTGGGGGCTGCAGCAGCAGCGAGGTGGCGATGGTGATTCTGGAGGCCTATGGGCTTCCAGGATAGTTTCCCCCCACCATCCATGCAGCTGCACACG